TGAGCTTTTGGCCATCTAGTTAGATACTCAGTAGCTATAACTATATATCAGTTCCCTTTTGTAGTAATTGGCAAGGGGCCTATGATATCTATTCCAACCTAGTTAAAAGGTTAGCCTATTCAAATTAGGTGTAATAATTCTTGGATATTGGGTTATTTACGCTTTTAACAAATATTACAAGTTTTTATATAGGTTTTGATATCTTCATCTATCTGTGATCAGAAGTATCAGAGTTAAATTCTTTAGTAAGTAGAAGTAGCATTAAAGTGTTTAGCTAATGGATCTGAGTATATAGTGAATAAAATAGCTTCTTTTTCATTATTTTTTATAACCCTTTAGAGTTTTGTTAAGTTTCAGACATTCTTTTTATATAGTAATCCTTCTCTAACCAGATAATGTCAAGTTCGATGTTTCAAATCTTGAATTATTTTCTGTTATAGTTCAGCAGTACTAAGGTTTCATTAAGGTAACGTAAGTATAAATAATAATTATTCATATCTATTTTTTTTTTTTTTCTTTTAGATCATTAAGATTTTTTAACAATATATATCTAATTGTTCTTTTTAATTTCTTTAGATATAAGAAACACTATTAGCGTTCTAATATACCTTCTTAGTCTTGTGGAAAGTTGTAAATAAATATTTCTGGAGTGTTAAGATCTATTTTACCAACTAATTCTGAGGTAACTTATGCGAAAATAGAGATTTTAAAGCAATGTAGTTAGTATATAGTTTAAAGTAAGCACCATGGTGGTATTGGCAATAATGAGATACAGCTCATACTACAGCTAAACATTCCTTTTCAGTTACGAAATAGTTCTTTTCTGCAGGTAAGAGACTTCAGCTAGTATATAATATTATTTGCTCACAACCTTCAGAATCTGATTATTAAAGGATAACTCCTAAAGCCAAATCAGACACATCAGTAAAAAGTAGAAAAGTCTTAGATTCATCTAGATATACTAATATCGAGACCATAGTAAGTCTTTTCTTTAATTCTTTGAATGTCACTTGTTGGTAGTTTGTCTACTTATAATAATAATTTTTCTTGAGTAACTTATTTAAGGATATGGCTATCTTAGTGAATTCTAGGACAAACCTATAATAGTACGAAGCTAGTTCTAGAAATCTATGAAGTTGCCTTACATTTTGTAGTATTAGAAAATCTTTAATAACTTCTATCTTCTTAGAGTCTGTAGCTATTCCTATTGCATTTACTATATACCTCAAGAATTTTAATTCTTGTTTCCTGAAAAAATACTTTTGCAGTTTTAATTTTAGTTCAGCTTCTCTTAACTGTCTAAATACTTCCTAGAAGTGGACAAGATAATCATTGAAGTTTAAAGAATAAACATTGATATTGTCTAGGTATATTACCATGAATTTTCTAATAATATCTTAGAAAATTCTATTTATCAGATACTAAAAGGTCACAGGAGTATTGGCTAACCCAAAAGGTATCATGATAAATTCATAAATCCTATCAGATATGACAAAAGTAGTCTTTTCTTTGTCTATTTTAGCCATTTCAACCTGCTAGTATCTACTAGTGAGATCTAGTGATATATACTAAGAGGATCTTTTTAAAGTATCCAAAAGATCATCGATCCTAGGTAAAGGATAATTGTCCTTTTTCATTACTGCATTTACCTTTCTATAATCTATGCAGATTCTAGTTTTTTTTTCTCCTTATTTTACTAGGATGACTAGCAAAGACCACGAGCTGAAGGATGTTTTAATTATTCCTTCTTTTTCTATTAATTATATTTCGTCACTTAGGAACTTTTTATTTAAAAAAGAATATCTATACGGCTTTTGTTTGATGGATAAGGCATTTCCAGTAATAATATAGTATTAGTATTTATTGGTTTACCTAAGTTCAGATATATCTCTTGCAAAGAGATCTGAATTTTTTTTTAGGATTAGTAAAATTTGATCTTTTTGATCTTTTATAAGACCATCAATATTATATGCTACTACGAGGTCGACTTTTTCATCAAAATAGAAATCAAAAAGGTTAACAATTTCTTCATAGATCTCTATAGCCAGAACTTCTAAGGTCAATTTAAAAATATTGTTAAAATAGTCTTCCTTATTCCAAGAAATATCTAGATTCATCTGCTATCTATAATCCTCAGGCTAGATATTAATAGAGATAAGTAATTCTTCTATTTTTCTTTTATCTGTCCATCCTTCATTGTTAACCCAACTATAGTCTACTTCTTTTCTATAATCATCATTATTATTCAAGTCCCACTAAGCCTCTTCACTTCCTAGATTATTCGAGTTCCTGTAGTACTCATCATCCTCAAGGATTTCGTTTGTATCTTCTAATTCAGAAAGTCCATAAATATATTCTTCTAACTCTTCTTCCTCAAATTCATCTTTCTCTTCTGATTCTTCGTCTTTTGTTTCTTCATTCTCAATAACTTCTAACTCTTTCTGATTTATTTTTGTAGGTCTTTCAGTTTCAAGTAGTTTCAGAGTTACTTTCCTAAATTCTACAGGGATTGTAACTTCCTTTTCATTCCATGTAAGGATCATCTCAGAAATATTCCAGTCTATTAATGTATTTATTTTTGATAACTAATCATTTTCTACAAGGGTATTATAAGAATTAGCATCAGTGACAACAATATCTATCGGGATTTTTATTCCTCAACAACAAATAGAAATTCTAATATTTTGCCAATAGCTCTTTTGCTCTCGCTATGGATGTTAATCATATTTACTGTAGAAGGCCTATCAATTTTTACTCCTAATCTTTTTAATAGGTATGAGGATACAACACTTCCAGAGAACCTACTATCGACTATTAATAGAATGAATTCCTCTTAGACTTGGGTGTTACAATAAAGAGTAGTGGATTTATTAGTGTTTTGTAGGTTTATATTAGTCTTTACTTTTCGCCTAATTAGTATCTTTTTCTTTTATAGAGATCGAATTAAATTAGTTTTCA